ACCGGCTTCTGCCTCCGCCGTTGCCGTGTATGCACCCTGTCGTCGTCTCTAGACTTCTCCCGAACCAGACGCACCACCCCAAAGCTTCCTTTCCCAAGTATCTTCAGCACGTCGTAGTCAGACTCGTGGGCCGCCCCCTTGAAGCCGGAACTGAGAGCGCGCATGCTACGAGTCTTGAGCACCCGCATCTCACGCAGATTATCCGACTCATCGCGATAGAACGACAGCCTCAGTGCATCCTCCTCGCCTGGGCCCAGTGCCTTTTCCTTGGCCGCACGGTAAAGATCGCTCTCAAGGAAGCGCCTTCGCATCGACCGAGCCGTCGGCTGGCTCCAAAGATTGTGGTAGAATGTCTCGAGATAGACCTTGGCTGCCGCAGCCCGCTCGACCGTCACTACCGTTGCTGTGGACTGATCCAGCTCTGTCTCCTGGATCGGGGTCAGACTGTTGGACTCGGGGCTAGACCGCGTCCGGGGAATCCGCCTCTTGCCCGTCAGCTTCTTGTCCCTCCTCTCCACAATCACCGTCGACAGCGCGCTGCCGTTCTTTTCTCTATCCTTGGACTTGGCCGAGCCCGAGAACTTGGAGTCCAGTGATGTCTTGCCTGTCGAGTCGTATGGCGACAAGGGTTGCGAGCTGCGCGTGCTCGACATGGTGTTGGCTTCCGTATTCGTGCTGGCCAGGGGACCTGATGCGGTTGCCGTGGTGGCTACTGATGAGGATGCCGCCATGTCCGTCTTGCCCAAATACCTCATCGAGCTGTCCTCCAACGAGGCAATCGACGGCCTGGACTTGTGCTTGCTCCTGTGTACCACGGTCGGCTCCATGGCCGACTTGAAAATGGATGATGACATCTTGCTGACAAAGTCCTGGCCTGCCGCTACGGCCTTTGCCACATGACCCCGATGGGGAGGAGACGGCGCCGGGCTGAACGGGTGTTCGACCATTACCGACGTGCTCGAGGCTGCATTGGGGATCGCGCCACACAGTCAGTTTCCCGCCCCCGAAGTCGACAGCAACTGTGGCACATGAGAAAGACGAGGTACTCACTCCTGGTTGTCAATGCGCGCAGAGCCGACGTGACTTTGGACCCCGTCCTCGGGATTTTTGCCGGCGGAGAGTTGCATCCAGTGTCACTGGGAGGCGGTGTGCAGTAGCGATACATGGGGCTCTCGCCATCGAGGCCTTCACGGTCGGTCCGGGGAGTCTCGCCTGCTTCCCCCTTTCCCTTGTCATAATTGTGTCCCCTCTTCATGGTGCAAAACGCGGCTGTTGAGGGAGTAGAAACAGGGACCTCGATACGAGCTAGAAATGCAGGTGATGGAATTGTAGCCGCGAAAAAGCGTCTGTTATATGATGTCTTGTCAGTTTAAATCTGCTAGAGAACGGCAGAACAGCGATACTGTAAGCAACGAATGATGGTAGATCAGAGTCTACACAAAGTATGCCTGCTAGAATGCACAGCGAAATAGCCAAGGCTGGGGGCTGAGGACAGATCTTGACAGCTTCGGGGGAAGAGGGCGATCTCCAAGATGGCGCAGACATGTTTAATCAATGACGAAGACTTAATCCAGGCATCCGACCTGATAGGAAGGCGCATCGAGAGAAGGGCAGGCACCACCCATGACCTCTTCCAGTCCTTTGGTTTGGGATCTCAGGATCCTGCGGTGGTGACTTCCGCCATTGGCATTCGCATCGCCATCACGCTCGCACCTGGCTGTGGTGCCATCACAGAACCTGATAAACGGCACTCGCAGAGTGAGACAGGCCAGGGACCAGCAGCGGCCTCATAGACACAAGGATACCGTAAGAGGCAGAATATAAATTAAACAATCGATTTCGGGATTATCTGCTCTGGAGACGTACGGTTCGTGACAGACCTGCCAGTGTATGCTCGAGCTATCCTACCTCAAAAACGTACATTGACCCTGCAATTATCTACTAAGCAAGGAAACCGAAAAGACCATTGAGAGAAAACGAACAAGGAAATACAAGAAATGGCAGACCAGTTCCTCGAAAATCCACCAAGACTTTTATGACGCCAGACAAATGCAACGTTAAAAATCGTCATCCCTCATACAGATCTGCTACCGCAGGCCGGGCTCGGCTTGGATCCTCGCAGACCGGGAGCAGGTCGGAAAAGAAACTTGCATCGTCGAGCAAGAGAAACGTGTCAGGTGAAGGAGTGGCCTAGGGGCGTTGAGCAAACCGTCCGAACAGACCCAAGGCTGAGATATTATCGAGTGGGCCAGGGAAGCCCAAGTGAAACTGGCACAATCTTGGTGGCAATCAGGAGAACAGCACGCTGTTTACTTGATCTCCACGAGCTTAACGTCGAAAATGAGAGTGCTGTTCCCGGGAATCCCGGCAGTACCAGAGCTGCCGTAGCCGAGCGACGCGGGGATGGTCAGGCGACGCTCTCCGCCGACAGCCATGCCGGCAACACCAATGTCCCAGCCCTTGATGACCTCGCCCTTGCCCAGCTTGAAAGTGAACGGTGGGCCCTTCTTGTTCGCTGTGGTGGCGACACGCGTTAGCATTACATTGACGGACAGGAAAAGCCGGATTGAGCAGGGAAGGGCTTGAAATCATCACTGACCGTCGAACTGCTTGCCATTCTGAAGCTTGCCAATGTACCTCATGCCGACCTTGTCGCCAGGCTTGGCAGTCCTGCCCTGGCCAAGCTTGCGGTCGTCGATGGTGACGCCCTGGACGACCTTGACTCCAAGGGTGGCCTTCCCGTTGGACTTGGCCTTCTCAGCCGACCCAGTAGGGCCCTGCTCGAGGTTCTTTGCGAACTGGACCTTTTTGTCGCCCTTGGCAGGTGTCGTGTCCTTGGCCTTCTCCTCAGCTCCGACGGCCTCGCCCTTGTTGTTCTTGAGCTTCTTCAGCTGCTTCTTGCTCAGCTTACCGTCGGCCTCGGCCTTGGCAGCATCTTTGGCAATGAGGTCGTCGAGGCTCTCAGCCTCATCCTCGGCAGGGCGCTTCTTGCCCTTCTTGTTCTCCTTGGTCTTGACGAGCTTGGGAGCCTCTTCCTCGTCCGTGTCGATCTCCTTGACCCGCTCGGCCTGGTCGATCTCATCGAGATCGTCGCTAGAGATGTCCTCATCGTCGCCAAGCAGCTCGTCCATATCTGGCGGCAGGTCGTAGTCGTCATCATCCTCACTGTCCTCGTCATCCTCGCCGTCATCCGGAGGCATCACGTAGTTGCCAGTCAGATGAACCGAGTGGGTACCGCTCACGACGAAGTAGCACTTCTCGTGCTCGCCAATGACGATGTCAAGAGGTTGTTGGAAGTTCTGCGGGGTTTGTTAGGTCCACATTCAAGCAGCGCGCGTGCATACCGTTCTTAGTCGTCATCGAAGACTTACCCTCTCAACATCCAGAGTGCAAAGGACGTGGTCCTCAAGGTCGGTGCCGAGCTCCGAGTCGTCATCCGAATCATCCTCATCGGTGGCAGGGCCCTTGCCCTTCTTGGACTTTCCGTTTGCCTCGCCCTCGGCCATCTCCTCGTCAGAGTCGGACTCGGCCTGAGCGGCTGCGATTAGCTGCTTGATGGCCGCCTCCTTGCGCGCCTTCTTAGACTTGGCGGGGTCTGAGGGGCCACCGTTGGCCTCCTCCTCCTCTTCAGAATCATCATCTGAGTCGTCCTCGTCGGCGTTGGCAAGAAGCTCCTCTAGGTACGAGTCGTCCTCGTCGTAGTCGCCGCCAACAGTCTCCTTGAGGATCTTGAGGGTCGACCGAGGAATGCGGGGAACCTTGCCGTCCTCGTCCGCCTCAGGCTCCTCGGTGGGGTCGATAGCCGCCATGGTGATGCGGATCTAATGCGCAAGTAGGTCAGCAACTAGAATTTAGGCGAGTCGCGAGACGCCGACGGAGACGGCCACTAGGTGTCCCAGCAGCCCGGGCTTGGACGACTCTGTAGGTGGTCGATGCATGGAAGAGAAACAAGGACCAACCGTCGCAGGGAAGTCGCCGGCAGCAGCGACGACGATCTCTCCAGGAGGGACCTTCAGGCCGTAAACCGCGGCGGGGAGAAGAGGAGACATATTCGCGGTTATCTTCTCGGTCGCAAGATGGAACTAGGACGATGAGCGTGCGCAAGTCTTGCAGAGATGAGATAGCAGGAGAATGGATTGGCAGGCCGTTTCGAATCTCTCCGCAAAATTTGCGCGAGTAGTTCGGAGACGAAGAATGCGAGTGCGGGACTGGCCTTTTTGTAGATTGCAAAGGCAGAAATTTTGCACGATGGAAGCTCTCGGCTCCCGTCGAGATTTTTTTTTTTTTCTCCGCTCACCAGGAACCTAGCGCCCGGGCGAAAAGGTCGGGGTCGCACCCCACCGATAACGCCTTATCCCAGCTACCCAGGCAACCTGTGGCAACAATTACGGGTCTTGCCAGCGGAGACGATGCAGGTCACTGCAGCTCTGCAGCTGGAGTTCTCCACCGAGTTGGTCGAGGCTCGAACTTGTCCACCGCCTTTGCGCCATCGAGGCTGGGGGTGCGGCGGCTCGTGTCCTCGAAGTGGAACGACTGCCTGGGCACCTAAGCAGACACACGCCCGCCTAGCACGCATATAGTTACTCCAGTCCGTACAAGCCGAATAAATCTCCGCATGGTTTCCATCTGCTGGTCAGAGAGGCGTGCTGCTATCGACGCATCCCCAACGTCGAAAGCGGCGGAGCCAGATGCGCTAGTCAACCTGAGCAACATATGTACAGTTTTCAGTTGGTTTATAAAACGTCTCCGTCGCATGGCACTAGGAGGTCCTATTGCCCGGATACAAACAACCATTAACTTGATGATCGACTCTTGAGGGCGGGCAGTAAACTATATCGAAAAGCGAATTGCCCCGCCAAAAGTTTCCAGTTGAGCAAATGGCCGCGTTAATTTCTGGTTAAGTGTAAAATGGGTGTTTCTCTTTGATGATGGGAAAAAAATAGAAGTGGTCGGGACAAAACAGAACCATGGCAAACATCGCATAAGTAACAGGTAAAAATTGATCAGAGTGGGACTCGAACCCACGCGGATTGCTCCATAGGAAGACTGTGAAAACACCTTAATCCTACGCCATAACCAACTCGGCCATCTGACCTTGACGCTTCTGTCATCTGGGACGGCTTGTTAGATTTGTTAGAGTGAGCCTCCGTTAATTTTTCTGCCGTGTGCGAGGTTTGTGTGCGCCTGCTTGACAACGGTGCGGGGTTTCGCGTGTTTGCCTCGCGTAATTGTGGATCTGCCGTCGTTTATCCAAATCGGCTACCCCTGGCTCGCTGCCCCTTAACCACTAACCAATAACACATTGTAATATTTTAAAAATAAATTTGAAATAATAAATACATATTATAAAGTAAATTTTATTTCTTTAGTTATTTAATACACCTAGTTTATAGCTGCATGCAGTCACGGCCGGAAATACGTGACTTGAAGAGGGGTTTTGGGCGCCGTGGGATCGCGGCGTTTGCGCCACACCCGGGCCATCTGCGTGGCGCAGTCCCGACGCAACTCGGGGCTATAACAGAGTAGCGATCCCCCAGCCCACCGGACTGCCTTCATACCGGTCCTCCGCTCGCTCCATCAGATTCGCCCGCGTCAGTCCAGCTTCGGCGGTCCTTTTTGTTCGGAGTGTGCGAGCTAAGCCTGGCTGGAAATTCCCTCATCCGCAAGGCCTTGCGTGTGACCTGATGTGCCACCCCTACGGGAACGATGTGCTCCAATGAGACTTGCAAGGCAATATCGGTCGCGTCCACAACCTGCAGTCTATCGTGTACCTAGCCTGACCATTTACCACCCCGCTCACAGCCTGCATACGTTTGTATTCAGCTTTGCAGGAAGGCTGGATGGAACGGGCTCGCTATTGGTCCTAGCTGCGTCGACTTCGGTGTATTAAACCGGATTTCGGTGTTCCAGCCTGACCAAAGCTGCGCCCTCGGAAGCTGAACATAGCCTCCTGTTTTCTTATCCTACTTCCCGTTCTTCCTCGTCTCCTCCCCTTTTTAATCCCTCCCTCGTCCTTTACGTCCCTCCTGTCCCGCCGTTCAAAATCTTAGCCAGCCCGTTCTATCCTGGTACTGTCTCCGGCCCGTACCTTTTCCGGCTTCCGTGTGCCATTCGATTCCTCCTGCCCTGCTAGTACTGTCGTGCTCAAAACAAAAGACTCGATCATAGCAAATCTGCCATTTCTCCTCCTTGTCGCACCCCTTCTCTTTCGTACCCTCTCTCCTCCGTCGCGTTGCTCTCCTATTGCCATTTATCATGTTGCCGCCGACCGACCGCAACGGCTTCAATATAGCCATCATCTGTGCGTTGCGCTTCGAATCGGACGCTGTGAGCCTCCTCTTCGACGACATTTACGAGAAAGAGTACGGAAAGGAGACCGGCGACACCAATACATATACGACGGGCCGTATTGGCAACCATGCCGTCGTACTTCTCCTACTTCCAAATATGGGGATGCAAGCATCGGCGGCAGGCGCAAAAAGCTTGCACTCGAGCTATACCAATATCAAACTCGCCATGCTCGTTGGTATCTGCGGAGGCCTGCCGCAGATCCGTGGCCGTGACGCCTTTTTGGGTGACGTAGTTGTTAGCACAAGCATCCTCAGCTATCTCGTCGGCAAAAAATACCCAGCCGAGTTCGTCGTTGAGACCACCAAGAGTACGCTGACACAGTCTGATGTCGACGTCCGCGGGCTGCTCGAGCTGCTGGGGCCTCAAGGCAGCCTGGATCACCTGCAGGGGCAGGCGAGGGCGGAATTGGTGGCGCTGCAGGCCGCCGCCCTCGAGAAGAAGCGGAACACTAACTACAGCACTCCCCCCGACGCCGCCGACATCATGTTCCCTGCCGAGTACGGCCACATTCACTATAAGGAGGCCTGCGACGATTGTCACGCAGACCCCCCGCGCCCTTGCGAAGGGGCCTCCAAGCTCTCTTGCCAGGATGCCGGATGCGAGACGTCGCGGTGGGCCTCGAAGCGGAACCGGCACCCGGCGGAGCTCGTACCTAGGGTCTTCATGGGCAAGATGGCCTGCGGCAACACGGTCATGAAGTCGGGCACACAACGCGACGAGGTCGCCAAGAAGTACGGCGTGATTGCCTTCGAAGTGGAAGGGGCCGAAGTTCGGCAGGGGGTCCCTTTCATCGTCGTCAAAGGGATCTGTGACTACGCCGACGGCCACAAAAACAAGGAATGGCAGAATTTCGCCGCGGCAACCGCGGCTTCCGTGGCCGCGGCGATCCTTGACAGCTACGAGGTGCCAGGCGGCGCCATGGAAGGAGTCTCCGAGGGACGAGGGCCTAACTCAGGCGGCCGCAACAGTGACAAGGTCGACAGCCGCGGCGTCACAAGTATCGACAACATCAGTCACGACACCGCCCACGACGTTTTGGGCGGTATTAGCAGAGGCACACAGTATTTGGGTACGAACATACACCCCAAGAAGCCCAAGTCTTCGGGGGACGAGATGGGTGGGTTCCAGGAAAGTTGTGGCGTTGCAGGCGACCTGCACACCTGGGCCATAGACGCGCTGGGCAGCGGAGGTGACAGGCGTCGCCAGTTCGGGCTACCCAGGGCAATGTTTGACATCGACTTTGGCGAGTTCATTGCCGTCATGAACAACGAATATCCACATGACCAAAAGATCCGCAAGGTTTTGACCCTCACGGGCGCTCCCGACGACGCCTTCGCTAATAGCGCTAAACGTTATGCGAAATTCATGTGGGGATCCCGCGGTCCTGACATACTCGATTTGATCGAAAGCCTCGCCGCGATCGTTGACTGTCCTGCTCGTACGTTTCCGTATATGTGCCCTGTTTACTGGTGGATAATGCTTACGGCCGGGGTAGGTTCCTCTCTGGACGTTCCGGATCTGGGCGTTCCGGCTCTGGGATTGCCAAGTTTCTATTGCAGTGAGGGCACGATTCAGCCTGTAGAAAGAGAATGTGGAAACGGCATGGTGCGAGCCTGGGTGGGCGGAACCCCCAAGTTTATCGCCGACGCCGCGCTGCAGTTCGCATGGGTGATGTCGGCATTTAGGAGGCCGTACCGGCGGGCCTCCGCCAAGGGGCAGGACGAGCCCGTCTTGGCCATATCGGCGCCCGAGGTCAGATACGGCGGGCGGGAAGATGGCGAGGTCACCAGCACGCACCACTTCGTATTCAGACTGCAGGATCTCAAGCCTTGTCCCGAGGACACCGCCTCAGGCTGTTGGCACGACATTTTCTGCACCTATGTCCTCGCCAGGGGCTTTCCCATCCCCGCCCGGCCTGCCGGCCTCCGCGGAGCTGAGCTCCCTTTTGCGCTGATGACAACACTGTCGGCGGTCGACTATTCATTGCCTTTCCTGAACGGCTTCGTCTTGAAGGGTCGAAGGGCCGCACTCGTCCCTCCCCTTGGTCCCATTGGGGAACCCGGGCTTTCGGTGGAAGACAAGACCGGAAGTCCGAGCGGCCGCTGCATTCAGTGGCACTTGGTACTGGCCAAGGACGGCGACCTCACCATGGACCATGTTTACAAACAGGTGACGGGGAACGAACCTCCGACTGCCGAGCTGTTCACCCCCAGCCGCACAGGCCCGGCCGTCTCGGACAAGTCGGATCAAGAGGCAGAAACCCTACTTTCCGGTGATGGCGCGTCGGAAGGGCAGGAAGGTCAGGACCTCGATCCTGACCATTTCCCAAACGAGGGCTCTCTAGCATCGACTAAGAACCGCCACTTCCTCGGCCTCTATAGAAGTGCCAATGTCCACATAGGGACTCGGGACTCGCTAGGTCACTTTCTGCAAAGCCCGGAAGCTCAGCACATGCCGAAGCACATGCGGTTGACGTGGGCTGGGACCCTTAACATGGGCGTGGGGTTTTCGCTTCTAGGCCTCATTAGCTTGTCCCTTTCGACGACGACCCAACTCAATCGAGCCGGGGATGGGAGCAATGTCATAAAACCCCTGGTTGACCGCGCAGAGGATGCCTGCACAAGGCTCGCCATTCTGTACGACACCAACCGGAAGACCGGCTGGTTGCTCTCGGAGGCGGCCGTCGTCCTCCATCTGATGCAGGACCGCATTCAAAAGAACCGATGCGCGTATCCTCCGCCGTACGCATTCCCAGACGGCCCCCTAAACAACTTGGAAAGCATTTCCCGCGCCTTGCAGGTCTTTGTGGACCACTCCGCCAGAAACGGGAATCTCTTCAAATACTTCGACGACAGGTGTTGCCAAATGCGGGAGACGGTGTACACGCCCGGGGGATTCCCGTTGAGCTTCCATTCCTTCACGTCCTCTAAATACCTCACCGGTATCTCCTTTTGCGAGCTTGCCGCCATGAAGGATTGCGGAACGATGAGAGTCCCGGTCAGCAGCACGAGCGGCCAGTGGGTCAGGATGCTGCACGCCAACAGACGCAGTCCATCCAAGCAGGTGTTGGTCTTCTTCTGCGGCCACATCGACAATGGGCACATGCCTATTCGTCGGGGTCCCGGGATCGAGACATGCTCGACCTGGAATGTGGCCCCCGGCGATCGGAGTTACCTCGTCGCCATGGCCTCTTGCGTACACGGACTGCTCGACAACAACCACCAGACGCTGGTGTCTGACAATCCCAGATACTATTGGGGACCGTCGCAGCATCCGTTCACCTGCGTGGGCGGCGTGGGGTCTTTCTGTGATAGGCTGCAACGACTAACGAGACAAGAGCCGAACCCACCCTGGAACCCGCGCGAGATCCCCGGTGAAGGAGCGGTGGTGTTCGGTGAACCAGACGGTACGAACATCCCAGCGTGTCAGCAGGTCCCTGCTGCTTAGGTGCCGGAGGGTGGACGGCGATCCCGTATATTCCAGTGGGTGTACGGTCGTATGTGCTCGTTCGGGCGGGTAGCCCTTCCTACTATGTACCTGCGTGTAGGGATACTTGTTCACGCCAAGGTACTAAAGCCCAACGTGGGATACAAGTCGGCCGTTTGTATATTCTCGTCCTTTTGGTCTTGGTAGTTGGATTGGGCTTGGCTAAGCATTGCCAAAGCCGTGGCACTACCTTCCCGAGCCGGAGTGCTCCACTCCTCTCTCCTCTCCAAAAACGAAAAAAAAAGAAAAAACGAAGAA